GCCATTGGCTGCCGAGTGACCCAGCGTGGAGAGGGCTGACCGAACTGCACCGACTCAAGCGTTCCTTAATGTCTTACTGGATCGAGATCCACAAATCTTCAGTTTCCCCCTTGTTGTATCCCTGTACCTCCCTGTTACCACGACAACACTCTGGCCCCTGCCACTGAGAGCGTAACGAAAGACCCTAAGCACCATTGATGGCCTCATTCAGATGGAGAAATGCATCAGAGAGGATGAGAGGTGTGTGTGTGTGTGTGTGCATTTATGTGCTTTATCTATTATAAACTTTGTTTTTAGACCTAATGTGTTCCGTAGGTAGGCTGGTACAATACACCTTTTAATCTTCATTATCGATTCTGCTTTTCAGTAAGCAGTCTGTAAATTCACACCTGTGACAAAGCGTGTGTTTTTTGTCTGCCGCTCCCATTATGAAGTCGTGCGGCTCTACCTAAGGTATGGGAATGGCTGGCGGGGAATTTGATTGCTGGCAGGTAGATTAAAGCACCTCTTCCGCCGGGGTTAGAAAGCGAAAGGGGATGGAAGTGGAGATCACAGCCAGAGGAACACTGAGCTCTCCCCACTCAAAGTGTCCGTAATCACCCCTGGCCTGGACTCAAGCTCTTCAACAGCAGGCGAGAGAGAGAGAGCATCATGGAGGATCTAAAAAAAAAAGAACAGTTTTGATGTTTGTCTCAATTTCTGGATGTGTGTTGTTATGCTAATGATCGAGTGAGTGAAATTGTTTTTTCAGTGGCTGATGTCAGAAGAAGCATGTAGATTAACGAAGAATTCAAAGATATTGAATATTTTTTCAAGGCTGCATTTAGTTGATCAAGATACAGAAAAAACTAATATTATTAAAGATTACAGTTTAAAATAAAATGTTGTCTATTTTAATAAAATATTTTATTCCTATGATGGAAAAGCTGAATTTTTAGCAGCCATTATTCTTGTTTTTAGTATCACATGATCTGTCAGAAGTTGTTCTAATATGCAGATTTGGTGTTCAAGAAAGGTTTCCTTTATTATTAATGTTGAAAAAAGTTGTGCTTCTAAATATTTTGTGGAAAATATTTTTATTTTCAATATAAATGTTTTTACTGTCACTTGATTAGCCTACTTGAATATATCCTTGCTGAATAAAATTATAAATTTATTTAAAAAAAATATATATTTTCAAAGATTTAAACGGTAGTGTATAATTCTGTATAATATTACATTTTAATGTGATGAAGTTAAATTCATTCAAATATTTGGGGGAAAAAATGCGAAAACATGCATTAGCGATTCCTTAAATGAGACCTATAATCTATTTAAGTAATTCAAGCAATTTTAATCACTGCCGGTGTGAACAACCCATTATCGTCAAATGCCGATAATCTTAAACAAATGTACAACACACCCTATATTTTGCTAACTTACAGATCTTACCAAACTTCGGTCCACTCCACCAAGGTTCAGATGGCAGCCTTCACACTTATTCAAATGAACTACACTAACAGAGCAATCACACCAGGCTTTGTTTTATTCTAACCAAGCCTGCCAAGTGTGAACACACCCTTAAACTGCCCAAATGTCAGCTAGTTTGTCAGCCTGGCCACTAAAACTAATTTCATATATGTCAGACAATAACCAACATTTTCCTCTCCTTATGCTTCCCGTAGAGATTCACTAATGCAAGAAACTGAAAGTGCAAAAGATCAATGGATTATGATAAAAGTGTCGTATTTAATGATTTATCACAATAAAATCCTTGAGTGGACTCTAGCTTGTCTCTGGGGCGGCCTGTTCCAGTAACATGGTCCCATAGTCTCTCTGCTTTTCTTGCCCATGTAAAATGCTGCCCGCTGACGATAATCGATACATGAGCATGCCTGTTTGAAACCAAACCCTGTGAAGAGCCCATGCAGTCTGCTCCGGCAGACAACAGAGGCCATCATGGGAAAATGATTCTCATGTTGAGTTGAGAGAAAAATTTATGACTGCAGCAAATATGAATCCTCTACTTTAAGGACAGTGTAAAAATCCTCATGGTAAATGATCAGATCCGTTTTATGTAAGGCGGAGATAACAGGAAGTGTGAGATCAGGCAGTGTTTAATTTGTCATAACTGTGAGATGAGGTGAGATATGAATCTCACTGTAAAGTGTTTTGCTGGGTTTGATCTGGTATTGAGTCACTGATGGTGTTTTGTGTCTGGTTTTATCGGATGATGAATATGAGCAGGGCTGGGACACAATTGGAAAAAACAGAGAAGACGAGTAAGAAAGAACAGAAGAGAGAAAGAGATGAGAAATTAGGAAGGTTATCTATCTATCTATCTATCTATCTATCTATCTATCTATCTATCTATCTAATCTTTTATCGTTCTCTTTTTATCATTCTATCTTTTTATCAGTCTATCTATCTATCTATCTATCTATCTATTGTTCTGTCATTCTGTCAGTCTATCGTTCTATCTATCTATGTTATTTCTATCTATTGTACTATCGTTATGTCTGTCTGTCTGTCTATATTGTTCTGTCATTCTGTCAGTCTATCTATCATTCTATCTATCTATCTATGGTTATTTCTATATATTGTACTATCGTTATATCTGTAAGTCTGTCTGTCTGTCTTTCTGTGTCTTATCTATATCTATCTGGTTATTTCTATCTATTGTACTATCGTTATATCTGTCTGTCTGTCTGTCTATCTATCTATATTTTTCTGTCGTTCTGTCAGTCTATCTATCATTCTATATATCTATCTATGGTTATTTCTATATATTGTACTATCGTTATATCTGTCTGTCTGTCTGTCTGTCTATCTATCTATCTATATATCTATCTATCTAGCAGATAGATAGATAGATAGATATCGGCCTTTCATCTTAGCTAAGCGACTCAAACAAGACAAGCAAAATGCAAACTCTTTTTTTTTTAAAGAGTTTCTTTAAATTTCACTTCATGCTGATTCTAATTCCTTACATTAAAATTTGCAAGTGGTTTTCACTTAAAGTTATGTTTGTGAAGCCTCAGAGTTGAAGTGTGATGCTTGGTGTTTAGTTAAATAAAGTCTCTCTTTTGTTTCACCACCACAGGCTTTATCAGCAGCTATGTGAGTAATTGATATAACAGTCATCCACCTGTGTTATCCGCATAATTGCTGGCTTCCTCTTTCTGCTGCCATTTCAGAATTGTTTATCCTGATTTAACGTGTCTAAATTAGTGGTTCTCATCCGATACGGCAGTTGTAACGGGTCAGCTTCCGCCCTGCATTAGACAGTGTGTTATTAAAGACATCAGTAATCACTAGGTTTAGCCAAACAGAGACCATAGAGATGCTCTTTATCTGTTGTGTGCAGTTTTAAAGAGCGACCTTTCCTCAGCAAAAAGGGTACCTGTTCACTGAGCAAATGGCCTCAGCAAACACTCTGACACACTTTCGCTGCAACTTTATTCATTTACAAATGTCACCGTCACTGGGGCGTAATGTGTTGCATCAGGCGTAGAGCTCTTTGGAAAAGCACTCCTCATCAATCCAGAGGATTTAGATGGGCGCAGAAGAGAGGAGGAGGAGGGGAGATGAATCTGGCTTTACTGAATCACTCCATAAAAACACTTTTTTTGTTTCATTTTGTCTTTTATATATATATAATATTAGGCTGAATAGATAAATGCATTTTTATTAAAATACATTTTATTTAAAGACTTTATTTAAAGTCTTTTATGATTGGCTAACCACTTTAAATGTAAAATGAGCAATTGGTATTCATAGCTCTGTGTCGCTGTAGTTGTTTGGACATTTTTTGTAGTGCACAGTATGTGAGGTAGAGCAGATCCCTCTCACCGCTTAAACCACTTAAGATCTGCATGCCAATAACTTGCATTTGTGCCAATATATCAAACGTGCTGTGCTCAGCATTTCTTTATGCGGATATCCTGAGTATTGACTAGAAGAAGTTGTGATTGTCTGTGTGTGTGTAAGTGTATATCAGTCAGTTCAGATTTGAGTTCAGTTTTAAGGCTGCATTATTTTTTCTAAAAAGAATAATATAATGATTGATAATTCTGTGATAGTTTTATTTTAATTATAATTTAAATTAATTACATTTTAACAAAACACTATTTAATAACAACATTAATATGTCATGTATTATTCAAATGTATAATATATATGACATTTTAATAAAGATGTTTTAAATTCTGATTTTGTTCAATTAATTTCTGTAATGTCACTGTGACGGCTGAAACACCAAAAACAATACCACCATATTTCTATGGTAATCAAATACACGTGAATCAGTGTTTTGATAATTTTGTCTTTTAATTCTGTTCATGAAATGTAGTATTGAAATGTAGAGCATGGTTTCCAACACTTTATCAAATAAGCCATATGTGTATGTTTTCCTCAATGTGAAAGCGCAACAACAAGGTGATTAAAAATGAATAGCTGTCGATGCCAAGACCTTATTTACCCTGGAATGTAGATCATAGCAGAAAAACACAGTTTGCAACCTTCTATGCGAGGAAGAGAGAGACTAGCCTGAGAAATTAAATAGCCTCTTAGATGTTTTTTTGACCCATTCCCCTTGGCATTCACACGCATACTCATGCGTACTCCAGAAATGAAAATGTAAACCATCAATACTGCAATCGAGAGCAAACTTTGTTTTGCCCGTAATGCTGTGTAAGACATGAATGTGTTTTTATTGATAAATCTGATTTACAAAACAGTCTTTCTCTCGTAATGGGTTCCCAGCATTGGGTTTCGCTGCTAGATGAACGAGGGCATTGTTGGAATGATTTAAACCGTGGGGCTAGACTCTCGACCCTCAGGCTACAGACCTGATTGGCTGCAACTTCTCTGTGATTTACTTGCCAAATATGAAATCTCATCAAACCAGCTTGTTTTGCTCACAATATGTCACGAGGTTGAGTGAACTTTAACAAATCATTTATTTTTTTTCTTTCCCCTGTGTGCTCTTTCTCTTTCTCTACCCCTTTTATTCTCTCTAGTTACATTGCTGGACACTATGTCTGCTCTGGGAGACCTTGGCTGGGAGGCCTACCCAGCTGAAGGGGTGAGTAACACGACCAATAAAAATCAAGACACAAACACACAAGCACCCCAAACGTCTTTAATCAATTCTGACTCTTGCAACCTGCCAAAATTATGGTGCGTTTTGTCTGCACCTGTTTTACACACAATGATTTGAACCGCGCAGGGACAAACGTTTTAAAATTAAAATGAATCTATGCTCCTGGGCTTCGACACACTTTTGAACCCCTCTAGCACATAATTTTTTTTCTTGCAAACAATCATCTGTAATCATGCCGTCGTGTTTCAGATGTGCTGGAATTGCATATGGTTAGACCTGACCTGCGCATGTATATTCATAAGAGTGGATACAGCATACATCGGGCTCATGGGAAAGGGAGGCTGTAAGCGCTTTCTCAAGTTCTTATAAATAGGAGCCAGTGTTTTTTGCATGTGTAAATTGTAGGATGTGGTGTCAAGGTCATGCAGAGTCTAGTGAGCTTAGACCTGTTTCCAGCCAAGAGGTCTTCATGTTCGGCTTAACACCAACTTCCCCAGTCGCTTACTTCCAATTTATCTGAGGAAGATGTCAAGATTAAGAGTCTCTAAAGCTGGAACACAATCCCCTGTGCCAGAGAGCAAAAGAAGGAGCCTTTATTTTGAGTAGAGAAGGCCTGTTCTGTCTTTTTTGAGGAACCCAAAGTGGTCTAAAATAATTGAGTTTGCAAAAACCATGGTGAGCTTAAAAGGAAATCAATCTTTGGGATTTCACAGCCGCCTTTTAAATGATTTAATAGAGATGTCAGAAGCTAGATCAGATTGTCTGTGCCCCACATGTGTGTCTATGAGAAGTGTCGTGTAGCAGCTAAATCTGGAGACGAGCAGAAATTACAAATTATTTTTTGCTGAAAATAGTACGACAGACATGAAGTCTGTACCCCTTCTAAAACCGAGAAATATTAGACTTGCATAACAGAGTATGGCATTGCGTAACAGGCTGATATGTTGTCAATAACCCGAACCCGCTACTTCTCCTGAGGAGAGCGCATGCACGCTCAATGACATTTAAAATTTAAGTTGTGGAGACAATGCAAAAGCTGTAGAGCAAGATCCTCAAAACAGATACATCCTATAAGCCAAACTTATGAGTTATGAGATTTGTCATTTGTTTAATAGTCACAGTATTCTTTGCAGGTCTTTTACATTTGTATAGAGAAGATTAGCTTTTGTAAATGGCTTGGTGTGTTTGGATTGCTGTAGTGGGATTGAGCACGGCTGTAGTGTGAGTGAACCCATCAGCAGCTCCTCAGCAGATGACTGGAGTGTCTACATGGGGCTGTTTCTCTAAGCCTGCATTCCAATTTGCATGCTGTCTGTCCTTCATAATACGCAATATTGGAATTTGTGTGTTCTAGGGATGCATGATATCTGGACCATATCACTTATTGTCGATAGATTTAACATCTACCATCTAACATCAATGGATTGTGCACAATCACAACAAATATAAAAAATTATAGTAAATGGTTTAGAGGTTTTCTTTCTTTAGTAGAACTCAAAATTAATAATTCATATTTTTTACTTTACATTAGAAGGTTATGATGGCATCTAAAGCATACCATTACTGATTTGATTTTTCTTTTTCAAAATAGAGTGCTGATTTTTGTAGGCCAATCCGGAAGTTGTAGAGGTTCCCTCTACAAAAAGCCATTAGGATTTTTCTTTAGCTTTTGGATTATTACAGAGAATAAGCTCTATGATCAACACATGTTCATGATTCCTAGTCCTACAGATTTTATCATGATAATCTTCACATATGAACACAGCTTTTATGAGTTTGGCATGATGACGTTTAATGGGACGATTGAACCTGAAGTAAAAAAAATGCTATTAGGATTCATTCCTGCAGCACTCTGTACTATTGATTTTTAATATCATTCATTTGGAGATCTGCTAAAGAAAAAAAAAAGTCTTACAGCCTGTGCAAAGGGGAGATGTTGTAGATGTCCCAGTGCTGTCTTATTTAAAATGTGTTGTAGACATCAACAGCTTTTAAATAGATAGTATTCCCTTTTTACAGCAAACCACTAACCAAATTTAACCATAAATTATCAGTTTAAGAATCCAAACTAAGAGACTTTCGTTACTGGATTGGGTGACTCCCACATACTGTGAGAGTCTCTTCCAATTGCCCTGTTTCCACATGACGTTTGTTAAACTCTTCAGAGAACATTCCTCCCTGTCCCCGTGCTGTGTTTACCTTAGATTCAGTGATAGTAGGAGTCTCTTTGTTTTGCTGGTATGGCAGTTATTTCATGGGAGTGAACTGTAAGGCTAAATCAGATCTCACAGTCGCGGCTGGCGTTTCATACTTGAGGATTATCGCGGCGACCCGTGACCCGCTGAACCCACCGAAGGTGCGCTGTTGTGGAGCGGCTCACAGGAAAGTCGGCATGTTCCCAAAGCGGCCGCTTCACCTCCGCTGGATATTTACCTTACTGACTCAATCGACTGCTACTTGACCTTCACAGGTCAAGACTAATACAGCTTTCCCTGTCCCATATGTGGAAGGTTTGTTTTGGATCGGCTATCAAATTGCCATAGTCATTTAGGGTATGTGTGCGTGTCTGTTACTAAAATAGAAGGGAGTAATTCACCTAGAGTGATAGAAAACAGGTAACTCTAATAACATGTCCTCCAAAAGAGGCCTTCTGCCCCAAAAAACAGACGTTCTTTTAGGGATTTAAAGTCAATTGCACTTAAGTATCTTAAACTACCAGATGATTGTGGGCCTGCAATTAAGTTAAGCCAATGAAGGGCTAAGCAGACCCCCTGATCTGACATATTTGCTTGGCTTCAAAGCGGTCAGACCCTGTGAATGGTGACTGGAGAATGGAGTTAAGGTATTTCAGATGAGACTCTATGTGAAGCGGCCAGCTGGAGACGCTAATTGACAAGACGCCCACGTCACACTTGTGACCGCTACATTGATTGAGAGTGGCTATGCTTTACCTCCTGTCCAAATAACCTGTTTTTCACTTAACAATTGTGAGTGTGTGTTGAACTAGCTTGAACGTAGGATGATTTATGAATGTTTCGGTGTGCGCTTTTGCTAGAGGTTAGCTAGCTTCGTTCACGAATATATCAACTGCACATGGCCAATTTCCTTTCAGATGGCTGTGCCCTATCATGGCATACTAAAATGTGTAACTAAATTGTATGTGCGCGTCTGGAGATCTGGAGTGTGTAACACAACCCTCTAGACTTTTGTGTAACCACCCATCTGTGGTAAAATACTTCATGAATTCAGACAATGCATTCCCAAAAAACTTTCCATAGTGGTTGGGTTCAGACCAACTTTTGAAAATAAATAAACAGAATAGCATAAACCTGCCTTTATCCCTGTATAAATATTCCTTCAAATGTCATAATTATTGCACTCAAAGGGAAAGAACATACCCAAGACATGCAGTGGATGTGTCACTTTGATCTGTAATGTTTGCCCATTCCCACCAGTCAGCATATGGCTCAGTTTAAAGCCAAACTACACTAGAAATTGACCCCGGTGCCTCGATCACTTTTTTAAAGCTATAAGCTAATGGCAACGTGTCATAAACGCTCTCTTTGTTGCTATGACATCATAGCTAGACAGTGATGTGCACTCCAGACTGTGCTGTGCATGGTATAAAATACTTCAAATGCTTGATTGCGCTGATGTGGAAAATGGCTCTTTTGGAGACATTCTGATGTACTCTGTCTCCTTGACCATTTGCTTAAATGTGACCCTGGACCACAAAACCAGTCATAAGGGTCAATTTTTCGAAATTGAGATTTATACATCATCTGAAAGCTGAATAAATAAACTTTCCATTGATGTATGGTTTGTTAGGATCGGACAATATTTGGCCGAGATACAACTATTTGAAAATCTGGAATCTGAGGATGCAAAATTGTCTTTAAAGTTGTCCAAATTAAGTTCTTAGCAATGCATATTACTAATCAAAAATTAAGTTTTAATATATTTACAGTAGGAAATTTACAAAATATTTGAATGGAACATGATCTTTACTTAATATCCTAATGATTTTTGGCATAAAAGAAAAATCAATAATTTTGACTCACACAATGTCTTTTTGGCTATTGCTACAAATATACCCCAGCGACTTAAGACTGCTTTTGTGGTTTAGGGTCACAAATGTGCACCCATATTCAGCTGCCAATCAGTTTAAGGGTTGTTAAAGGATTAGTTCACCCAAAAATGAAAATGCTATCATCATTTACTTACCCTTGTTTCTTTCCAAACCCATTTGACTTTGCCTTTTCCTTGGAGCACAAAGGGAGATATTTAATGTATTGGTTGCTCTTTGCTATTCAATTATAATTATTGAGGACTGGAGCTTTAAAGCTTCATAAAGGAAACAAAAGCACCATAAATCATACACGTCTAAATGATTTGCATGCTGTTTTTCAAGTCTCATGATAGTTTTGTATGATGAACAGGCTGATAGTTGTTATTTACTCCAGTGATCTGTCCACTGTGGTAAGTGGATCATTTAGTCAGTGGGTTTGATTTATGAACAAATCATTCAGATTAATTGTATAAACCTATTCATTGAAACAATTTGAATGAAAATAACCATTTGTAGATGATTCTAACATTAGCTACTTGCCTTTTCTCAGACAAAGCCATCGTATAGCTTCAAAAAACTTGCCACTAGTCATTATTGATCGCTTTTATGATACTTTTATGGTGTTTTTGCATCCTTTTTTATGCTTGAAAGCTCCAGTCTACATTTACCTTAATTGGAAATGAATGAAACAAACAAACAAAAAAAAAAAAGTCATACAGGTTTGGAACAGCTTGAGATTGAGTAGAAATAAATTTTTGTGTGAACTAGTCCTTCAAAAGAACACAGTGCTCTTTAAAAGAACCAAATATAACTTTCCCTCTCTTCTTGCAGTCACAGTGGATTGCTCCCATCATGCACTGTTCAAGAAATCTTAAATGAAAGTGATGAGAAATGTCTTCAAGCGGGAACTCAAGTGGTCAACAACAATTTCTGAACTCTTAGTATTTGAAGTCTAGTATTTTACTCGCTGATTGATCAGAAGCTCGAATGAATCCCTAAAATCACTTAGAACTGAGCCGGTGGTCCTTCAGCTCATTTCTGCTGCAAATTATACAGAGAAGGAATAGAATTTATTGAAGCAAATCAGAATCATTTTTGAGAAGCAGCCGTTAAAGAAATTGCCCACCCCTCTAAGACTCCCTGGATGGTTTATTTTCTCTGCCTTTAAGGAGTGAAATGTTACTTATGCATGAAGTGTTCCAAATGAAGAAACCTTAGACAAGTGGAAGCAGATGGCAAGAGATGATGGGAGACGAGTCCCTTAAACATACTCTATCTACTGCTGCCTATACTGGAGACATGCACACTCACACACATAAACAGAACTAGCTGAGGCACCCTATGTGTTCCATAAATGTACATGCAGTAGAAATAAGATATAACAAATATTTACATAATATGCATGCAATATTTAAGGCTAGAGTTCAGAATTGATTTGAATTTTTTTTCTTATGCTCATCAAGGCTGCATTTATTTGATAAAAAATACAGTAAAAAGGTAATATCGTGAAATTAATTTATCAATTATTAGTTTAAAGGAATTGTTTTCAATTTTAAATCATTTTAAAATGTAATTTATTCCTTTTGAAGACTGAGCTGAATATTTGGCATTCATTACTCCAGTCTTCAGTGTCTCATGATCCTTCAGAAATCATTCTAATATGCTGATTTAGTGCTCCAGAAACATTTCTTATTATCAGTGTTTAAAAAAGTTGTGCTGGTTAATATTTTTGTTGAAGCGGTGATGCATTGTATTTTTTATTTATTTTTTTATTCTTTGATGAATACTGTAGAAAGTTCAAAAGGTTTAAAACATCTGTAACAATTTAAAATCTTTACTGTCTCTTTTGATCAATTTAATGCATCCTTGCTGAAAAAACAATTCATTTTGATAATAATTATAAAAAAAACTGTATGTGTATATATAATACTCTTTCTTACACACACTAAACTTTCTAAAATATAAAATAAGTTTATACCACAAAACAAACTTGAGACAGAAATGTCACAGTTCATATTAAAACTGTGAAAAAATGCCCATTTTTGCAACCATAACAGTTGTTCTGTCTGTTGCAGTGGGAGGAAATCAGTGTGATGGATGAGAGGAACACCCCCATGCGCTCCTACCAGGTGTGTAATGTGATGGAGGCTAATCAGAACAACTGGCTACGCACTCGCCACATCCCACGAGATGGAGCGCAGCGCGTCTACATCGAGATTAAGTTCACCCTGCGTGACTGCAACAGTCTGCCTGGAGTCCCTGGCACCTGCAAAGAAACTTTCAATATGTACTACTATGAGTCCAACAACCCCAACCTGTGGTTTATCAAGGAGAGCCAGTACATAAAGATCGACACTATTGCGGCCGACGAGAGCTTCACGCAGACTGACGTGGGTGATCGCGTTATGAAACTAAACACTGAAGTGAGGGACATCAGTAACTTGAACAAGAAGGGTTTCTACTTGGCTTTCCAAGATGTTGGAGCCTGCATCGCCTTGGTGTCCCTGAGGGTCTTCTATAAGAAGTGTCCTCTTGCCGTTCTGAACTTGGCCCAGTTTCCCGACACGGTGACAGGAGGAGATTCAGCGTTGGTGGAGGTTAGGGGATCTTGTGTGAATGACTCGGAGGAGTTTGAGGCGCCGAGGATGTACTGCAGTGGAGATGGTGGATGGCTGGTGCCCATTGGACGCTGCGTCTGCAAGCCAGGCTTCGAGGAGAACAAGGACTACTGTCAGCGTGAGTTTTCTATGCAGCATTTTTTACTCCTGTATTGGCACAGTTGACTTAAAGTATTTAGACACTTTTGTACTTTCAAGTTACACTTTAAAATGTAGGGATGCACAATGTTTTTTTATTGCCCGATATTATACTTAATATTTTATAAGATATTTAATTGTGCAAGCTCTTTCCTGCATTTAACTCTCACAGAAAGTTAAAAACACTAATTATTTAATAACACTGTTTAATGTAATCTGTAGCAAATTTCAAAACATATAGCCATTTTTCTGTATATTATAATGTTGTGATGCTTAAATTCACTTGTAGCATTTAAAATAAATTACTTTAGTTTTTAGTATTTTATTTTTGATTTATTTAGACAAAATAGTATAGAATTTTAATATCTGCCATCAGCCATAACATGAAGATAATTTTCGGCTTATTGGTATTGGACAGAATTTTAATATCACTGCATCCCTATTAAAAAGTCATTGCATTACATAGAAATATCAATCCAATCAATCCATAGAACTAAACTTTCTTTTCTTTTGCAAATACTTTATACAAATACTAAATGAATGCTGCTTGGCTTTATGTTTTGTTACATAATGCAATGACATTCATGTATTTTAAGTGTGGCTAAAGTGTCCAAATGCTTGCTGGGGTCACTATATAATAAAAACCATGTTTTTCTGACTTTATTGGGCAATTTATTTGATAATATGACACATTCTGTAGTGATAAAACTCAGAAAATAACTGCAATCTGTTTTTTTTAGCAGTTGCAGTCCCTTTGTTTGCTTCAGAAGTGAGCATGTATGCTTGTGTTTGTGAGCAAATGCAAATAAGTTTGCAATGAAAGTAGCTGAGGGCTTCAGTGACTCATTCAGATTCACTCTGTGCCTCGTTTCCCTGTGTCGGGGAAGGTAGTTGTGCTCCAGGATACAAATTATTGAGACATAGCATTCCACAGACTATCTGTTCTATTTACTTGCTCTGCAAATCCATAGGCCTTCAGCACACAGTCTAACATTTATTCAACAGTGTGTGTTCGTTGGATGAGCAAAAGTTGTCTACAAAAAAAAGTCTAAGCCAGCTGTTGAATTAAATTGTTTTTAAATTTGTTTGCTTTTTGTTTCATTTAAAGCTAGTGTAATAGTACCTCAAACCTCAGATCTTTTTCATTCGTTGGGTTAATACTGAAGCAATAAAGTTTGAGAGGCCATGCAGCTAAAGGGTGTTGTTTAGCACTATTCACAATATAACCTTTTTTATGTTTACTACAAAATACATTAAAATTAATACATTTTCATTAAAACATTATTTTCCATTATTCAAATAGTTCTAGAACTTTCAGTATGGTCCCTGACATGTAAGCTAATGTTAATAAAGGCCTTTATGGCTAGGTGGCGAAGAGGTGTTTTGAGTCATACGTTTGGTTTTGCTGTATTTATTTTAGATCTGTTTTTATTTGATCTGCTGAGATCGTACTGGCTTTAATTGCTCCTAATTCATCTTGCATTGCTCTTTTGCTGTTTTGATTTGTGTGTACCCTGCAAACATGTTGGAACATAAAAAGGAAATATCTAGCAACCCACACAGCCCTCACAGGCTCAGACCTCTTGTTGACTGAAACTCCTACTTATTTTTATTTATTTGCATGTGGCATCATTATAAAGTGCACGTTTGTTTTATTAACTTTGAGATCTGGGACGGCTGTGGAAGGTGGAGTGGAAGCGAGGAAAGCATGACAGGCTCCTGTGAGTGTAATCGCGGGGCTGTTGTTCTCTTTCTTTGTGCATTTGGCTGTTTCCCATCTAATGGCTTATGAGTGGCATCATGTTGTTTGCTAATGGGTAGGCTAGAGTGACACAGAGGGACCTGCTGAGGAGCTAATGACAGCACCTTCATGATGAAGCGTTAGCAGACTTCACACCACTTTCAAACAGATATGATCTCCATTTTTCTGTTAACTACATTGATTTTGTGCTTTTAGCTCTTTTGCTATGTATTTTTACGTTAGCTTGTGCTAATTTCATAGTGCAGTAGTTAGGTTGATCATACATCCTCTTACATGTCCTGGCTGGGATTTCTAAAATGATTTTGGTTTTGTTTTCCTATTGTTTTCACACTTGCTGAAGGTGATGACTGAAAAGTAGTTTAACCAATGCAGGCATTGTAATCGACCAATCATGGTGTGCAAGAAGGTGTGTTATACAGAAAACTAGTTATTTTTAATTAAATTTTGTGTAAAAATATCCAAAGACCTTTTGGAAGTCCAATAATAAAAATACTGAAATTTGAAATCGCTGTTGATATTACATCCAGGGCATTTATCACTCTAGAAATGGATGGTCAATTGAAAACATTGTGAAATACAGTGTCCTACATAGCTTTTCTCTGTTGGATATTGCAGAAACAGCAGGATGGTATTAAATTTCAAACCCTTCCATGCCTTTGAATTTCACGAAATGCGACAAACACAAAAATTGTGTTTTGAAACCGTCCCTCCTTCTCATGCAGCAGGTCAAGGAATGGTCACTCTTTGCAAAATAATCTTATCAGAACTAACAGCTTCACACAAAGACTAGACTAAAACTAAAATTAAAACAGGCCGCCAAAAACAACACTAATCAGAACGTGCCAGTGTAATGAATTGCTCCCTGCCGGTCAATTAACCTTATTCAAGACAAAGCTAGCTGTATCTTTTCCGGTCCAATCGCTCATGTGAGATGTCAGTGGAAAAAAGAAATAAGAACTCACCGAAGGCCTTGCTAACAGAGCGCAAGACTCAATAAATAAAGATTGACTGTGTTGAGCTGTTTCTCAGTGTGGTGGTCTGCAGGCCAGCATGACAAAATGACTAATCATGGAGGTCTATTGGCAGCGCAAGGCCAGAGGTCGTCTAATATATGGCCTTGTCCTTCATCTCAGGCAGTGAATTATAGCTGTATGTGTGTGGGTATGTGTAAGCGCAGGCTTTTTTTAGTTTTCACTATAGCGACTTCATTACACATCAGGCCGGCAGATGGTTTTTCATATTTAGTACACGAGTTATCCCTGTAAGCTCTGATTATATTGCAGATTTGTGAATGATCCTCCATCTGTATTAAGCTGCAACTTCAGAAAACACATGCAAATAGAAAAAGCACCAGCAAATCAAGAAAACATGTTCATCAGTTTGACAGCAGGTGCTGCAAATGCTTACAATGCAAACAAATAAAGAAACGCACTGCAAATGCTCAACACAACCAAATAAAGAATTTGATTTGCAGCACGTTTCTTTGTTTGGTTGTGTTGTGAGTATTTGCAGTGCATTTCTTTATTTGGTTGTGTTGTGAGCATTTTCAGCGCATGTGTTGTCAAATTGATGAAGTTGTTTTTTTAATTTGCAGGTGTTTTTTTCTATTTGCAGCGCGTTGAGCTCTCTCGGCCACCGTACAAATCATTAATATTAGAATGATTTCTGAAGGATCATGCGAGACTGAAGACTGGAGTAATAGCTGCTGAAAATTCAGCTTTGCCATTGCAAGAATAAATTAAATTTTAACATATATTAAAACAGAAAATTATTATATTAAATTGTAGTAATATTTCACAATTTGACTTCATTTTTTATCAATTAAATGCAGCCTTCCTGAGCATAAGTTACTTTTTTTCAAAAACATTAAAAAATCTTGTAAATGTCCCTCTGCAGCAGTTCTTAAATCTCTTTCAAATCTCTTTTCAATTACTGTATTTCACAGAGATGCATATCAAGTTTGAATATGCAGGTATTTGAATGAGATTAATAGCAAACAATGGCTTGAATTTCTCTTTTTTGCTTTTATTATGCTTTATTTCCCTTGTGCTTGACAGCCCTTTTCGTGTGCCACAGAAGAAAGAAACTCATACAGGGGCCAGTTGCATAAACATATGTTAAGACTGTGTCTTAAGGACTAGTTTGACCAACTAGCTAACGAAGAGGTTATTAGACTTACTTTTTGGATTCAAATTAGACCATTCTCCCTTTTTATAACTGACTTTAAGAAGTTATGACCAGTCTTAAAGAAAAAAAATTAGATGACTAACATTTTAAGACTAGTCTAAGCGGTTTATGCAACCTGCCCCAGGTATGGAACGACATTGAGGTTGAGTAAATGAAGAGAAAGTATGCATTTTTGGGTGAACTAAACAATCAAATATGTAGGCAAGGACATTTAGAGTATTTGGAGAGAAGTGGGGGTGGAAGGACTTCTACATTTATCTGATGGAAATTCAGGGGAAAAAATGAGGACATCTCATTCTTTTCACAGTTTGTTGATTGTGAGCCAAGGTGAAATGAGTGTTCACCAAAACAGCAAGCTTTTCAAATATTTTCGAGGACTTGAGTGCTGGCTAAATTTGGAAACATTGCTTTAATAATGCCCACATGGGCAGTTGTGTTACCTGCCCAGCACTGTTATTAACTGGAAAAAATAAAAAAGCATTGAGCTGCTGACATTCTCAATGAGCCAGTGAAGGCAAAAGGTGTGGTTTTTCACACTTGCTCCAGTGTTTATGCCCAGGAGAGCTGAATCCACGCTCTCCCCGGAGCCAGCGCTCAGCAAACAAAAGGTCAGAGCCCTCGGAAAAGTGTGTCAGCTGCGCTGAATAGCCTCTACGGTGAAACTGTCAGCAGGCTAATGTATTAAAATGAGGCATTTTTGCTTGTCTTCTTTATGCAAGGTAGGTGCTAATGGACTCATTAGCCAGGCCCGCCTGCCTCTGAAATGGCAGCCATGCTCTAATTACTGACATTTTCCATAGTACTGTTTTTGTAATATCCGTGTTTTTCTTCAGCTGTTCCGTGGTCGAGTTTCGGTAATGGTCACCCCTCCTTCTCGACGAGGGCTCTAGCGACACTCGGAGACCACTCAGGAGATGAGGCTGCTGGTCCCTGTTTAAATATTCATTAGGACTCATGGATCCAACTGTCTCTGATTAACGTGAATAAAAAAGGCTAAGTGCTTTCATTTAAAAAAGGCAACAAATAATGGA